GCACCAGCCCTGCCCAACTGGCACTACCGTATTTGTAGGCATAGAAGACACACATGCATACTGCCCCCTGCTGGGCCTCCACTGCCCTCCACAGGGCAGAAGGGGATTACCGTACTTTTTTGTATACAACATGCACCTTTCCCCACTGCTGGCCCTACCCAGTCCCTGCCCAATGGACACTGTTGTATTTGTAGGTCTAGAACAGGGGTAGGCAATATTTTTTGGCCAGAGTGCCAAAAAAACCACAATGGCTACCTTGGAAGGGGCCCGAGTGCTGACATGCTGGAGCCCGGAGCAGCTGTTTGCAGCCTCCCAGCTGCAGCTGGCCCACAGAGCCCGGTCTGCTTGCACCAGGGCTTGCAGCCTCCCAGCCGCCAACTGGGAGCAGCCTGGGCTCCGTGGCTGGAAGCAGCTGCTCAGAGCCCGGGCTGGCAGTGGTGTGCCAAGCAAAATGGCCTTGCATGCCATGTTCAGCATGCGTGCCAGGGTTGCTGACCCCTGGTGTAGAAGATGTTCTCCTCCCAATATGCACAAGCATACTATCTGGGACCCCACCACCCTCCACAGGGCAGAAGGGGGTTACAGTACTTTCCTGCATATAACACGCATCATCCTTCTGCCTCACACCCCAGCTGGCCCACCCAGTGCCCCCTATGGCCGCCCCCCACATGGTACCTGGAGCACCTGGACCTTGCGGTAGGACAGCACCGCTGGGTGGAGGAGTCGCATGGTAGCACCGTAAGAGTCCTCCCCGAGGTTGTGAACCTGGATCGTGACCTGGAGGTCTTGGGTGTCACCCACCACCAGGGTGCTCAGGCTGTGGTAGGGAAGGGGAGGGGTTGTCAGCTTCCCACAATAGTACCCTAGGGAGAGTTATGAGCTTCCCCTGGCATTGCCCAAGGCAGGATTATGGGTTTGCATTGGCTGTGCCCTGGCGGGGGTTGTGAGCTTCCCCCACCAGCAGTGCCCTGGAGCACTGTGATGTTCCACCAGCAGTGGCCTGGGGGGTGGGGGGGATTGTGAGCTTTCCTCACCAGCAGTGCCCACAGGGGGGTAGTGAGCTTCCTCCAACAGTTCCCTAGGGGGGGTTGACCTTCCCCCATAAGCAGTGCCCTGGAGGGGGTTGTGATCTTTCCCCAGCAGTGCCCTAGGGGGTGCTGTGAGCTTCCCCCAACACTGCCCTAAGGAAGGTTGTGAGCTTCCCACAACAGTGCTCCCCTATAGGCCAGGATCACACCCCCCAGGCAGGGGCCAATCCTGGGCCTGAGGATGATGGGGGGTGGGGATGACAGGGACGGACTCACCCTGAGAAATTGAAGGCGATTTGTAGGTTGTCCTCACAAACCCCGTCACTGCCACAGTTCTTGTCAAATGGGAGCTGGGGGGCAATCAGAGAGGGGGCGGGGCCATGGGGTGGGGCTCTGTCAGCTATCACCTGTAGCAACCTGGCCCCCCGCATTGCATTGCCCACCCCCAACACCCACTCACACTGCCACGGCTACACCCCGCAACCGCCCTGTTACCATCACCACCTGTAGCCACCTCAGTCCCCACTTTAGTCACAACCAGAGTCCCACAAACACAGGGACAACCTGTCTGCTAGAACCTGGGCCCACATAATCAGCATCACTTCCTGTAGCAACACTGTTTCCCTGGTTGCCACACCAACTGCTGAGATGAGATAGCTGTACAAGCAGCCACTGCCTGACAGCTACCTGAGGCAGCCATGCAGTCAACCTTGCCGCCTGTAGCAGCATCTTCCATGTCAACCACCAGCACTCAACACCTGTCCGCTCAACCACAGCCGGACTGGTACAACCTGAGCTAATGCTGCTGCCGTTGCTGGCTCTAGCTACACCGTTTCCCACCTCTTGATGTCAACCACGGGAGCCAGATACTGAGACACGCAGCCAATACCATCTAAGTCTCTGCCTGTAGCAACACCAGCCCCCACCTTCCTATGTGAACTACAACACAACACCCATGCCCAGAACAACAGCTTGATTGCTACAGCCCGAGCCAATGCTGTCATCATCCATCTGTATCAACTCCATCCAGTGAAAACCTGAACACACAGCAACAGTCCAAGCACTATACTGTCACCGCTACTGCTCGGAGCAATGCTGGTCCCCAGCCTCCCATGTCAGCACCATGACCAGCCTGCCCATGTAGGCTAGAACAGCCTGGCCGCTACAACCAATGCCAAAGTCATCCGTGTTCCTGCCTATAACCTTCCAATGGCAGCCGCTACAACTGAACGCCTGTATGCACAGCAACAGTCTGACTGCTACACCTGGTGACAATGCTGTCACTGGTGCTGCCTGTAACTACACCATGAGCACCACACAAATGTGAGCCACCAGGACTGGACACCTCGATATGCAGCAACATTGTGACCACTACAGCTGGCACCAAAACTGTCACCGTCACTGCCCGTTGCAACACCATGTCCCAGCTTCCAATAGCAGCCACTACAATCGAACATCTGTACCCACAGACAATGCCATCATCATTGCTGCCTGTAGCAACACCATGACAACCACACAGTGTCAGCCACAGGACTGGGCTCCTTGACATGCAGCAGCAGTCTATCCACTACAACTGGCACCACTGCTGTCAGCATCACCCCCTGGTGCCTGACCCTCCAAAGTTAGCCACTACAACCAAACACCCACTGTCACAGCTGATAGCAACCCTATGACAGCCGCACAGTGTCTAGTGCCAGGACTGGGCACCTCGATACATGGCAACAGCTGTACTGGTACCATCGGCACCAATGCCCTCAGTGTCGTGGCCTGTAGCAACACTGTGACAACTGCACATCAACCACTAGGATGGGTCAACCTGACACACAGGAACAGCCTGCCTGCTACACCCAGTGCCAGCAGCTTCAATGTTACCTCCTGTACCAACACCGTGACAACCGCACAATGTCAGCCCTACTGGAAACCTAGACACACAACAACAGCCTGGCCTGTATAAACAATACCAATACCCTCAGTGTCACTGTCAGTAGCAACACTGTGGCAATCACACAGTGGCAATCACCAGAACTGGATACCTAGGCACACAGCAACAGCCTGGCCACTACAACCGGCGCCAATGCCATCAGCGCCTGCTGTGACACTAACTCCCTTCCCTGAGGTCTCACCGAGGCTACAACCATCGGCTCCGTGTCCTCAGCCAGGATGGGGGTGAGGCCATTGGTGCTGGGGATGGGGTTCCCGGTCAGGTTGTATGTCAGGCGCAGGGTGATGGGTGCCAGGGTGTCTTCGGGGCAGACCTGGGGGTGGGAGACAGGCATGAGGGTACCGTGGGGGGCCTGGAGGGAGAAGGGGGAAGGGAAGGGGCACTCACAGGCAGCTGGACATTGTAGTTCTGGCACTGGGGCGGGAGGCTGACTTGTACCATCTGGGACTGGGCAGACAGTGGGGGATCGAAGGCGGCACGGACTTTCACCCGTCCAGGGTCCAGCACCAGCTCATAGCGGAAGGTGCCCGAGATGGAGCTGCCTGTAGGGGCAGAAGGGGTCTGACAGTGTGGCCTCCAGGCACACGTTACCCCCACCACTGTGCACTCCAGAGGTGTGTTGTGCTGGGCCGGGGCCTGGAGGGGATGGCTCAGAGCTGGCTGCATCAGGAGGAGCAGGGAACCCAGGGAGGGGGAGGCGTGGGGGCAGGGGTTGGAAGAGAACCAGGGGGGTTGGATCCAGGCCTAGTCTGGAGGTATTGGGTGGGGCAGGGCAGATGCCTGGCTTCTGTTTGTGTGTGTGTGGACAGGCTGGGGACTGGGGGTGTGGCCTCTCCCTGGTGGGCGGGGCCTGTCCCAAGGGCGGAACTGACCCTTGAAGTGCTGCTTGGGGTTCAGACGGAGGCTGAAGCAGACTTGGGCAGTAGCAGCCTTGGCACCCAGCTGCTCCCGGCCCTGGCAGTTGAAGGCGGTCGTTGGGATCGTGGTCGGGGCAAAGGTCACAGTCACGGTCGCCTGCAGCACTGGGCGTGACCTGCGGGGCAGAGCTGGGGTCAGCCACACACGCGGGGAACCCAGGCATCCCGGACACACACACACACATACCCCAGGGGACCCAGGCATGGGGGCTCACCTCAGCAGCAGCACCTGCCCATTGGCGCCCACAGCAATGTCCTTCAGGTTGTCACCTGTCAGGTCCGCGCCCCCGCTCAGTGCCAGGCCCAGTGCCTGTGGTGCCCTGGACCCCCAGGTCCCTGAGATGCGCTGGGTGGGGACAGTTGTCAGGGGCGGGGCCGGGGCAACAGGGAGAGGGGGTGGGGTTATGGCTGAATGGGGCAGGGCTAGAGGTGTGGGGACAGGGCTAGAGCTACAGGGGATAGACCGATGGCTGTTGGGGTGGGATGGGATGAGAGGTGGGGGCAGGGCCTAAACCTCCAGGGGCAGGACTAGAGGTTGCAGGTGGAAGCAAGGAGAAGTGGGTGGGGCTAGAGGGGTTGGGGGTGCCAACAGAGGGGAGGAGTAAGGAGCACAAAGGGGTGGGGCTAGTAGCAGTGGGGATGGGGCTAGAGGTGGGAGCCAGGCTGGAGGGGCAGGGGGTGGGGGCAAGGGGTCAGGGCTAAGGAAGCGGGAGCAGGACCAGGGCAGAAAGGGCCTGAGAGGCAGAAGGGGTAGGTCTGGGGTGAGGGGGCGGGGCACTGAAAGAAGAGGGCATGGCTAGGGAAGTAGGGGCAGGCCCAAGACAGCAGGGGCGGGGTCAGAGAAGCCAGGGGCGGGGTCAGGGAAGTGGGCAGCAGGGCTATAGAAGCAGGGGATGGGGCCGTAGCAGCTGGGGACAGGGACAGGGGAAGTTGGGGACGGGGCCTACCTGGCTGGGCTGGTTGCGCAGGTGGCGCTGCTGCCCGCGGAAGATGTAGAGGGCCCCATGGGCACCGTCCTCCAGGGGGGCCCCCACGGCCAGGTCGGCGCGGCCATCGCCGTCCACGTCCCCCAGCACTGCCAAGCTGGCCCCGAAGCGCCCCAGGGGCTGGTTCCCCTGCCCCCGCAGCACCCCGTCACACCGCAGCGGCGCCCTCTGTGGGGGAGCAGGTAAGCGCCAGGTATGGCACCGTATCATCCCGCCTACCACACATGCTGACCACCCACCCACCACCCTGTGGGGCAGGGGGCAGCTACTGCATTTTACTGGGGATTTGAGCAACCTGCCCCTGCCCCTTGGGGGCCTCTGCAGGGCAGTAAGGGAGCTACTGTATCTTCTGGTGTACAATATGTACCTCCCCGTCCCTGCACCAACTCCTACAGGGTAGAAGGGGAGTTACCACATTTTACCACCTATAATGTGCACCTTACCCTACCCCGTGGTGCCACCTACAGTGCAGAAAGGGAGTTACCCTGTTTTATCATGTAGAAGATGTACTTTCCCCCTCCCTGCAGCACCCCGTCATGGGGCAGAGATGGACCTACCATATTTTATCAGGTATAAATGCACCTTCCTATGCCCCCTGCATACCTTCTCCCTCCCCCATGTCCCCAACTGGCAGGGCCAGAAGGGAGCTACCGTATTTCCTCACAGATACACACCCCTCCCCACACCCATAGGCCACCCCCTGCCCCCTGAAGAGCACGAAAGGGGGTTACCATCTTTTCTGGCATACAACATGGACCCTTTCCCACCCTCCAACCCACTCCCTGCCCCCATCCCCAGATCCTACCTGCTTTGGGAGAGGGCACATGAAGACGCGGCCTCCGCTCCCCTCCCCATAGTACATGGGGGCTCCAATGAGGATGAGGTCGGTGTTGCCATCTCCATCCACGTCCATGGTGCTGAGGGAGCCCCCAAAGTATGAGCCAATCTGGGGGGCGGGGGGAGCAGAGGAGACCCCATTACCTTCAGAGCCCAACTCCTCACCTACCCAACTGCCCTTCCCAGAGACCCCAGTAATACACAGGCCCCGCCCCTTGGGGAGGAGCCCTGGAAACAGATGAGAGGAGTCATGGGGCAAGGAAGCAGAGCCATAGAGCTAGGGGGCGGAGGCCTGGGGCTGTGTGGGTGGACCCTCAGGGCTGGGCGCAGAGCCCTGGGGTCGGCAGGGAGGAGACTGGAGCTGAGGGGGTGCAGCCACCCGTCATGCTGCATCTCAGGCCTATAGCCAAGTCCAGGCCCCCCGTCCAATTCCCACATGTGTGCATTTGGACAGACATGTGCACAGATCAACAGGCACACGTGTGTCCACAAGGTGTGCACATACACATGCACCACCTGCACACACCTGCCTTTGCATCCCTGCACCCTCTCGTGCACACACACACACACACACACACACACACACACACACACACACACACACACTCATGTTGGCCCACACATGCACATTCATATTCACAGGTATACACATGCATAGACACACGCATGCACACATGGGCATGCACTCAACATGAACACACACACACACACATGTTTTCACAGGTAGGTTAACATACACCTAAGCACATACATGCATGCACACACTTGCACACTTGCATGTACACATGCACCCACACACATTCACATGCATGCCTGAACACACTCATAAATACACACATATGCACACATGCTACACACACGCACTCACACATCTACAGATGCACCCAAACGTGTACACACACACATTCATATACACACAAGCAAGCAGACACATATGTACACACACATATGCACCCCAAAATGCATGCACATACACACACTTACACACACACACACACACACAAAGGCATACACACATCTGCACACGCACAGTCACACATGGATTAACAGGCATGTATCCATGCCACAAACACATATACACACACATATGCACCCACTCATGCATGCACACGCACATGTATGCACGCCCCTGCACAGAGGCACATGTGCACATGCACACACAAGTATGACTCCAAACACATGTATCTACACAGACCCACATGCATCCACTCATGCACACACACATGCACACACACCCCTGCACACATGCGCACACACATGCACCCAACTCACACCCAAATGCACCCACAAATGCACACGCATGCAGACCTGCACACACAACCATGCATAGAGTCACACAATAGCACACACATACACACCCAACTCCAAACACATGTATCCACATGCACACGCACACGCACACACACACACACACACAAAGGTGCCCAAACATGCACACACACGAACCCCCATGCACACATCCACACGCACTGTATGTGCACCCACAAACCAAGAGGAACATGCATGCCCAGAGACACATTCAGGAACACATCTCCACATGCCCCGACACACACAAACACATGGGGCACCTACATGCTTGCACACGCATCCCCACAGCCAGTTCCCCCCTACCTGGTCTCCCTTCACCTTGCCCTCGGCCTTCCAGGCTGATTCCTTGGGATCCCAGTAAAACAGCACTACCTTACCCACGTGCTGGTACCGCGGTGCCCCCACCACGTAGCCCCGGCGCCCCCTGGAGGCCACTGGCTGGACTGCATAGCCTAGGGATGGGGCGGGGGGGGGAGGGGGGGTAGAAAAGAGGCACATTTGTGTAGGGCATTAATTAGGGAAGCTAAAGGCGAGGAAGAGAAAATAAGACTAAGGGCAGCGGAGGTCTCCTAGCAGTTTGATAAGCTAAAGATAGACCAGAGAAGACGTCTGGGTACCAGTTCTTATAAGCCCCCATTCCCCAGAGATGCAGCCACCTCAGAGGAGGGTGATCAGGGTCTATATAGGGCTGATTCATCCAGTGCTGAAATGCAGCTGCCTCTGGGGCATGACGTGGGGGTGATTTAGGCCTATAATGGTCTAAAGGGAAAGGAAAGAGGTAGGAATTCATTAAAATGACCTGGTGTAGGGCATTGATAAGGGAAGCTAAAGGCAAGGAAGAGGAAATAAAACTAAGGGCAGCAGAGCCTGATAAGATATGGGGCTGTGCCTCAGTGGACCAGACCAAATGGATGGGGACCAGTTATTGTAGGCCAGAGATGCAGCCACCTCTGGGGTGGGGTATCGGGGCTATACAGAGCCCGTTCACCCAGCCACTTGTGGGGCGGTAGGTAGCCGAAGAGACCAGGCCAGGTGAACGGGGGGGGGTCTCTTACCGAGGTAGGCATCATTCATCTCCTTGCTGGTCCTGGACACATTGATGAAGGTGGGATTCTCACTTTGCTTGTAAAGGACGAGCCCACCTGACCAGTCGTAGGCACCTACAGCTCCCAGAACACAAAAGTCCTAGACCAGGGCACATGGGGACCGTCACCTCCTAAATGCCAATAGCCTGAGTCCCCAGAAGGATCTAAATTGGGCCCCCTTCCAGATTCTGAATGCTCAGAGACATGTCAGGGTGCTCAGGTCCTGGCGGAAGTGGGGTAGAGGCAGGGTAGGGGCAGGGGCTGTCACTCACCTGGTACAGGAGAGCACTAAAGCCATCTTGGGACATCTCCAGCTGGAAAGAGCTGTCACTGTGGGACTGGGTGCCTGGAGAGACAGACGGACAGATGGAGCCCCCAAATCAGGCCCAAGATTTGCCCCTGGGGTTCACTTGGGAGCCATGGTTCAGCCAGCTGTGGGGCAGACGAGTGGGAAATGGCTGAGTGGAGCAAGGCATGAGGCACCAGCCTTCCGGGGGGGGAAGGTCACTGCCCTGAGCTAGCTGCATAGAAAGATGGATGGATGGGGTTATATGGTTGGTGCAGAGAGAGGAGAAAGGGTTGGACGAATGGATGGACGGACAGGTGTTATGGAGATGGATGGATGGATGTGCATGCTGGGCGTGGATGGAATTGGCAGTTGAGTAGACACATGGCACATTGTGGTCTCAGCACTTCCCTCTCTAGCCCTCATCCCCCAACCAACCCCCTCCACTCCCACCTGCCCTGCCTTCTAGCCCCCCTCCATCCCACCCTGCTTCTCCTCAACCCCCACCCCCCACCCCGGATACCTTCAATGGCAAAGATTTTGTTCTTCAACTTCTCTTGGAGGCCCTGCAGAGCATTAAAGTTGTCCACCTGGAAGATGTGGTCGCTTGCAGGGGAGGAGGCGATCATCCGCAGCTCCCGCTGAGCATTCTCATCGAAGAAGGCATTGCCCACCTGCCCAGGAGGGAGGGAAGTGAACAGTGAGCTGGGCACAGGAAGGGAGAGGCAGCAGGTGAGCATGAGATGGAGGGATAGTTGGATGAGTGAGTACAAGGGATGAATGGAGAGACAGACAAATGGGTACAAGTTTGGATAGGATGGATGGATTCAGTGGATTGATGGATACATGGATGGACGGACAGACAGATTTAGTGAATGGACGAATGGACGGACGGACGGATGGAATGGTTCATTGGATGGATGGACACATGCATGGATGGATGGATAGAGCATAAGACCAGAGGGACAGTGACAGGACAGGATGGACGAACAGACAGACACATGGATGGACGGGTCCAGTGAATGGACGGTGGGGCTCAGCACCTGGATAAACAGATGTTTTTGTGAGCAGAAAGGTGCCTGGTCTCACCCCAATAGCGTAGCGGATGATTCCGGCTCTGTCAGCCTCGGGGATCACATCCGCGTAGTGCAGCGTGTCTTGGAACTTCATCCCATCCGTGATCACGATGAGAACCTTGGTGGCCCCAGCCCGCATGCCACTTTTGGACACAAACACCTCCTGCCTACACAGAGTCCAGAAGCCCGGGGTCACTCACCTTGTCCCTGGGCTCAGGTGAGCTGCAGGGTGGACACGGAGGGATGGATGGATGGATGAAATAGTTCACAGGATGCTTGGATGGGTACATTGGAGGGATGGATAGGGGAGTGAATGGATGATGGACAGGCCGGGTACCCACACTGCTCTGCGGATGGCACTGGCAGTCCACGTTGTGTAACCCTTTTGGACAATTCTTTGCACCCGCTCTTCAATGTGAACCTCTGAGGACTCCCTGAACTCCTTGAAGTCAAAGGCGGTGGTGAAGTCTGAGGAGAACTGCATCACAGCAAACTGAGGCCAAAGAAGTGGGGGAAGGGTGAGAACCAGGCCTTAATAGTACCCTCTAGCAGGCCCCCCATGTTCCCCCAGTACCCACTGGTAGTCACCTGGGTCTCCGTGCCCCGGAAACGCCTCATGACCTGGACCACAAAATCCTTCATCTTCAAGAAGTCACTGGAAACAACACTGCCCGAGCCATCGATGAGGAAGAGGATGTCCGTCTGGCGCCTGGGGCATTCTGGGAATGGGGATGTGTGGGGGGAAGGGGACAAGGCCTGGTGAACAGGGGGTAAGTATGGGACAAGACCTCCACCCTCTTCTGGGGGCCCCTTGGAAAGAGGGGTCTTGTGGGGGTTATACCAAGTTAGCAGCTGCCTGTTTGCTCCCATGGACAATACTCATGACAGGTCCATCTACCATCCATCCAGTGAAGGAATCCATCCATCCCTCCATCCATCCAATCAACCCATCTATCCAGTGATCCAATGAATGAATCCGTCCATCCATCCAATGAACCAGTCTACCCATCCATCTATCCAATGAATGAATGAGTGAATGAATGAATCCATCCCTCAATCCATCCATCCATCCATCCACCCAATCAATGAGTCCATGCATCCATCCATCCAATGAACCAGTCTGTCCATCCAACCATCCTATAAATGAATGAATCTAGCCATCCAATGAACAAATCCATCCATCCATCCAATGAATGAATGAATGAATGAACCCATCCATCCATCCAATGAATGAGTCCACCCATCCATCCATCCATCCCCTCTCACAAGGCCATTCCATCCCCCCACACCTAGTGACCAGCTCCTAACCCATGTGTCCACCCCTTATTCCAGGGGGAAAGTCCCTGCCCTAGCCCTGCCCCACCTCAGAGGCCCCGCCCCATCCCTGCCTTGGCCCCGCCCCCTCACCGGGCAGGGTCTCTGGGAAGCGCTGGGTCAGGCGCAGGTTCCGGTCCAGCAGGAAGCAGTAGCCGCGCACATACATGGTCTCGCCCCACCCCTGCCGCCTGCCGCACCGTGGGGCCGCACACCTGGGGCGCGAGACGGGGGAAGGGGTAGCACCGGTGGCCAGCTTGTCATGCTGGCCTCCCCCGGTTACCGTGATGATGGTGCGAGGCAACCTTCCCCTGATGCCTCCATGGTTGCCATGGATGCTGTCACCACATCAACACGCACTGGGTCCCTCACTCAGGTAGGCATCCCCAGCTCTCACCCCAGGGCACGTGACCTCATCCCCACCTCACGGTGATGTCACCAGGCAGGAACAGCCACCACAATGATGTCACCACTGCATTGTGGGGACCCTGCAGCCCTCCCCTCCAATACCTGACACCGCGCACCCGCTGTTCCCATAGCAATACTTGTGGTTTCCCTATTTTAGGTGACATAGTGTGATGGTCATCCTCTGCATCAGGGCGGGGGGGGGCTGGGCACCCGGATGCCTGGCTTGTCTGTGG